TCTCTGAGGATCCCATATATGAGTACCCCTTAGTCCAGAGTTTATTGTATTATGTGACAAAATAGAACAACACATTGCAATACAAAAAATTCACAGGACACCTGCATAGATCATGTCATGACATACAAGTACACCTACGCTATTTACAAATGGCAGTTACCAGAAAAATGAAAGTCAGTGCAAACATATAGAAATGAAGGAACACAATTGTCCACCAAACCAAAGCAGTATCTAACTTAGCCATAGCCATCCTCACATGGCAAACTGAACTGCATGCTGGGCTCATGGCTACCTGTCAGATCCTAGTCTAAGTTGGGTAGTATTCTCCATTTAGTAGTCAATTTAGTATTTAGTAGTACTTCTCTTATAACCTTGAAATATCAAGGTAAGCCTCGCCTATAATCAATGACATCCAACAACTGTATCCAGAGGCCAATCTCACACAAATATGTGGCCAGTTGTGGGCTGCATCAGACTCAGACTCAGAATGCAACTTTGTCTGGTGAAGAATGAAGTTATATCATCTGCAGAAGAAAAATAAAAACAATGGAACTGGAGATCATCATGTTGAGATAAAAGTCAAGGGCAGTGTGACAAATATGACATGTTTTTGTTCCTCGGCAGGATTTAGATCCACAATAGTAATTATAATGTTGATAGAAGTATGATTGCACCAAGGCATCTATATGGAGGGAAAAAAAGCCAGTGAAGGCAATGGGGGGAAAACACAGATGGATGAGCTAAGAATGTGACTGAAGAAGTGTGTGTGTGTGTGTGTGTGTGTGTGTGTGTGTGTGTGTGTGTGTCTGTGTGTCTGTGTGTGTGTGTGTGTGTGTGTGTGCGCGCACGCGCACACGCGCGTGGAATTGTATAATGAAACCCAACACAAACGAAAATGAAGGGAGAACTAAAAAAGGCTGGTTTTAGGAAGAATAATCCAGGGGGGTAAGTTTGATCAAAGTACACTGTATGCCATCACACCCTCTGTACAACATACACTAATAAACATTTAGAAAGGAAAACAAGCCAGAAATACTGTAGGAAAAAGTGAGTATGGGCCAGTAAAGTTATCTTTGGAAATGCCTCCATTCCCATGCCACTGTAAATATCAGGTTTCATGGCACTCAAGTGGTTGCCACCCCAATACTAGCTGGGAGTCCTAAGCAACCTCTTCAGCTCACCAAGCAGATCACATTGCATCTAGGAACAAGCAGCACTGGTACAGTAAGCCTTCCCACAGGGTGTGAGAGAGAAACATATAGGCATACATGAGCACACAGAGAGACACGATCACCATACACCCACTTCCCAGTGGCTACTGGACAGAAGAGAGGACAGACTTTGGGTCTTCTCTCTGGGTCCTGTAACACCTCCCCTGTCTTATATCTCACCAGCAGATGAAAATGTATAGAGTGCTCCTGTTCAAATGACTCAAAGAATCAAAGAATGCAGTATAACTCAAGCTTGATTTCATCATCTACCTTGCCCATGCCTGCCCACAGTACCACTGCATGGAGCACCAAGCTCAACCTTCAACGTACCTTCCTGTTTCCTGCCCTAGCATCTGACTAGTCAACCCTGCCCTTTATCCTTGTCCTATATAACCTCCTCATCCCTCTGACTATGACCTCCATCACACCAATCACCCTTCTCCCTTCTCGCTGTGCTGCTCTGAGTTCTTGGTTCTCCTACCCTCCACTTTACTCAGACAGGATAGGCCTATGAGGGGAAGCCTGTGTACCCCCCTGGATGGCCAGAACAATTGCACATTTCCACAGGCATGCTGCACACAGTCTATCCTCACCCAGTCAGAAATTAAGAACCCGACTCACTGGGATGCCCTGATAATCCCTCAGAGCTTTTCACACATGACATGGTCAATTAACACTCACCTGTGGAACAGTCAAAAAAGACAGAGCCAAGATTATTGCGCATCCACTGAGTCACAGGCCTTGGATGAGGAATTTCAGTCTATATCCAATTCAGCATTTTTGAGTCTGCACATGGCAAAGGTGAATGGAAAACTGTTATGGTTGAAGTTCCTATAAAACAAGGTCCACAACTAACATTTTTAAGTACCTACAAATCCCAAGATTCATTCAAAACAAAGACTGTTATGCACTGACTATTTCTAGAAGAGCACTGCTATATTTCCAAAACTCTCTCCAAAGTATGTATAAATCTCAAGGAAAGTTTCACAACATCCTGGGCCACAACAATATTCACTAATTCTATTAATCAGGATGTTCCATTGACCAGACAATCCCACTCCACATGATGCTGAAAACCAGCCAGTACACTGTGGGATATAACCACAACACTTGGGCATAGCACATAACAGGGAAACTTAGAAAGCAATGAAACAGGGAGAACACACTCAACAGGCTAAGTACCATAGACTGATGGCTGGGAACCCCTGGGTAATGCATTCTGAGTCAATCTAGAAACTGAGCCTGCCTCATAAAGATTACAAGGAAGACTTGAATTGGCTCAATTGCTGGCTGCATGCCATGGCTGGGATGTGTCCACAAAAGCCTATGTGTTCAAAGGCTTGGTACCCATGGAGGGGTCTGTAAAAGGAGGCTAGCCTTCAGGACATAGGTGCTTTGTGGAGACCCTTAGGTCACCAGACACATGCCTTCTAAGCAACCCTCGTCCCTTTCTCTATCTCTTATTAGCCCATGTTTATGAGGTAAGTCATCTTCCTTTGCCTTACCCAAAGAATTGGGGTAAAGCCATCATGAATTAAAGCCTCTAAACCTTTTTCTATACAAGTTATCCCAGGCTTTTTTCTTATAATAGCAAAGAGCTGTCTAAAACACTACTTTGAATAGCTTACCACAAGATAGGGAAAATCTTCTAGAGAGGAAGGGACCAATTCCCAAAGCTGCTAAAATTCCAGCTATGTAATTTCTAGCATACAATTTAAAATTCTATACAAATCAAAAACCTGGACCAAGACCAGAAAAGAACCAGAGACCATACCTCTGGATTTTTCAACATATTGACTTTAAAATAATAGGAAATGAATATGTAAAAGTGAAGAGAGCATAATATGAACAGTATCACTTAAAAATTGGGTGTATTTTTCAAAAGCCACAGAAAATAGTACTATTTACTTTAACAATGGGGAAACAGAAAGTAAGAAAACACATGGTTTCTATTACCTGACTAGAGATAGATGAAAAGGAGATTAGTGAGCAGGTAAACACAAACTTGAGAGAATATGAAACAGTGGTATAGGCAAGGATTCTCTAGATACGACTGGAAAGACATAGGAAACAGAAGCAAATGTTCACAAATGGGACTATATCAATCTAAAATAGGAAGCAACAGAGTGAAGAGTCAACCCAAAGAATGGGAAAGTGTCTTCATCAATTATTTATCTGATAAAAGACAAATACCCATACTATATTAAAACATAAAAAATTAATAAAAAACAAATACCAAGCAAACCACTTAAAATGAAAAATGATCCAAACACGTACTTCTCAAAAGCAGTCAAGAAATACAAAATATAACTCCATTAGCCACCAGGGAAATGCAAATAAAAACCAAAGACATATCCCACCAGTTAGGATGGCTATTAAGCAAATGCTGGCCATGATGTGGTGTCAAAGAAAACCTTATGTACTATTGGTCGCTAGTGGGAATGCAAATTAGTATAGACACTATGGTTCTCCCCCAAAAAAATTAAAAAATAGATCAATCAATAAAATGAACTGCACATCCATGGCTACTGTAGCACTAGTTACACCAGCTAAGATATGGAATCAATGTAGGCATCCAACAACAAAATTATGTATAGATACATAATGGAGCATCATTCAAACCTAGAAAAGAAACACTGTCATTTGCAGTAAAAACTTGCCAGTGAAAGGTTTTAGGCTAAATTAAATAAGCTAGACACAGAAAGACAACTATCATATGTCTTCTCTCATATGTGGAAGGTAAAAAAGCCTGAAAGCGTGACTCAAGAGGTAGAGCATCTGCTTAGCAAGCACAGAGCCTCAAGATAATGCCCCAGGAAGTACCACAAAGGAAGGAAAGAAAAAGACAACCTGAAAGTAAAATAATGATAAGAATTGAGGAAGGGTGCAGGGATGGAGGAGGGTGGTGGATAAATCAAGTTTGGATCTGAAAAGTGTATGCTGGATACAAATACAGAAACATTACGAGTGTAAAAATAGTGTGTTAACAAAAATGACTAAATATTTGTAATGATTTAACACAAGGCACAAGGCGAAGAGCTCTGGCATAGTTAACTGAAGAGGCACAAAGGGAGAGGTCTTCTGCCATCTGGTGGTGAGCATGTGGAACAACCAGAACTTTCCTGCCTTCCAAGAGAGGGTGCCACGTGCTATAGTTACAAGGAAACCAGTGTTTTAGTCTATGCAGGTTACTAAAATAAACCAGACTTTACACAAGAAAAAATTTTTGCTCTAGTTTTTTGGATGCTGAGAGTCCACAATCAAGGTGCTTGCAGATTCAGTGCTGTTGAGGACCTGCTTTAGTGCTTCTAGTTGTCCTCACATAGTAGAATCAGTGAGTGGGGTTTCTTTTATAATGGCATTGATTATACTCAAAAGGCTCACCACCTAAAACCATCATCATTGAGGTTAGGATTAACATGGGAGCTCTGGGGATAGATATGAACCATCAGATCACAGCAGATAACCAATCACAGAATTCACCCCACTACCAAACAGCATGCTCTGGAAACAAAGTCTTGCTTCTTCAAGCCTCCCACTGAGCTTTGACCCTCACTGCAACAAGACTCAACTTTCTTAACCACATGTGTATTCCTGACTCCTGGCTAGAGGGCTTACACAATGTGAACACTGTTCCTCACAACAAACGGTGCTTACATGAATATTTTTATCACACTATGCACTTATGATTCAGGCTCTTCTATGGATGACACTTAGATTTTCATATAGCTTTTACATAATTAAAAAGGATCAACAGTAGGAAAAAATGTTTCATGACAAGACACCTACTGTATTAAATAAAAATTTTATTCATAAAGAAATCACATTACAAATGTGCCACTGACTATCACAAATGAATATTAAGCTTTTTTTCTGCATGTTAGGGACACAAAAATGCCAAATACACATTCCTTGTCCTTGTGAGGGAGGGGCTTGGGGTCAGGTCCAAAAACATCTACACACTACAAATTAAAGAAAACATGAAAGTTTGGAAAGGTGCTTTGTGTCTTGAAAGTTGATGTGGAAAAGCTTTGACTGGATGGGCTCATCAGGAAGGACAGAGCCCATAAATGTGCTGGGTCCCAATCAACAGGTAAGAATGAGGCACTAGGGGTAGAGAGTAAGCCAACATGCCAAAAATTGAGATGAGTCAGGAGAGGAAATGAGGGTGAGAATTTCCAAGCTATACAGGTAAAACTATGGACAGCGGTCAGGCACTGGCTGCTCACACCTATAATTCTAGCTACTCAGCAGGCTGAGATTTGAGGATCTTGGTTCGAAGATAACTGAGGCAAAACAGTCTACAAGACTCTTACCTCCAATTAGGCACCAGAAAATGAGAAATGGAGCTGTGACTAAAAGTGGTAGAGTGCTAGACTTGAGCAAGAAACCTCAGGAACAGTGCCCCAAGCCAAGTTAAAGTCCCATGGCCAATAAAAGAAAAACCTACAGAGAACAACTGATGGGTGAATGAAATGTTCAATTTCTTCACCACACAGGTGGTGACAGGCTTTGTTTACATTCTCAATTTCTGTTGTGGTTTACCAGTAAAATGAATCCATTTTCCTAGGTAAATGCTAGATTTCAATATGAAATTTTCACAGTGTATTAAATAGTCCAAAGGGATGTACAGTGAGATTCATACTATCTACTTATTATGCTGGGAAGGAAAGCTAAAAACATTACCTACATATCATCCAGAAATAATATAAAGAACAAAAAGATTTCTTCTAGTCCTCTTGATCTTGCATTTTGGCAACATGGATCCCTGTATTGTCAAGGCTGGCCTTGAACTGAAGATATTCCTGCTTCAGCCTGCTTTGCTGAGAAGAAGACATGCACCACCACCACCACCACTCCCAGTAATCTTCTTTCTAAATAGAAAACAAAAACTGATAAATGTAACCAAATCACTATTACAGAGCAAATTACTCAAAGGTAGAGTCTATAGACTATTCCAATCTGCTAGAGATGAAATAAAGATAACATTAAAATAAAGAGACTCATCAAGAAGAAAAGAAACATAATAAACATTTGCAGAGGGGATACTTGAATGATGAGAGTACAAAGTGAATTTTGTAACTAAAGATTTAATTTCTGGAAGACACAAAATAAGTATGAATGATATTTTGGTGTTGGGATGAAAGCCAAGGCTTCACACATGCTAGGTAAGTGTTCTACCATTGAGTTAACTTCCTGGATACATATTTTGTTTTTATGCATAAATTTGCCATGTGGGTTGAGGGATGAGGAGAAGAAATGTCTGAGAGATGAGAAGGTAGGAACTAGTTATGGAAAGCAGGTCATGGAGCAAGCAGACACCCACCTGAACAAGTAAAATGTGGCTAATTGGCCCAACAGAAGCCTTTAGTGTTTAGAAGGTGCAACCAGGTCCATATCCAACACATGGGGTGTTGGAGGGCAACAGAGGACAAAGTGGACACCACACCCTCTTGGCATGTGCTGCCATTAAGTATACAAGCAACTTAAAGCTATGGTAACAATGGATAGATGGTGACTACCCGAATACCAGAGAGAAAAAATGTTTCTATAATCTGAGATGGACACTTATGAGTATATTACTGTACAAAATGTTACTTTCACTTTCCAAATGTTACTATGCTTACAGCATGTTACTATTAATAGAGGAAGACAGACAGCTGTGGTCCTGAAAGCCTATAATTCCAGAAATAGATAGGCAAGACAAGAGGATGCTGTCTTCAAGGCAGCCTGGGTAACATAATAAGACCCAGTCTCAAAAAATGAAATAAAGGTAAAGAAAATTGACAGAAGAGTGCTGCATACCTACTCCAAGCTGAACACCTGTCATGTGTTACACATTTACCTTAGCCCTTCAATCTGAAAGGTAAAACCTATTAACAGGTTCATTGAATATGAAAGTGAACTAATTTATGGGTTATTGAGAGTCTACTTCATCTATATATGTAGTATGTAATGTTGAAATCAGATGAAATAGTAATATTTTCTTAAGTCACATTTTCCTTAATTTGGGCAGGGTCCGGAAAATTTCATGCTTCCCAAGCAGGCAGCAACAAACTTGAGCTATAATCTGAACGCTTTCTGCTTTATTATTTTTTGTGCCAATTCTGGGGCTTGAACTCAGGACCTGGGCACTGTCTCTGAGTTTCTTTTGCTCAAGATTAGAATTCTACCTCTTGAGCCACAGTGATACTTCCAGCTTTTTTTATGTGGCACAGAGGAACTGAACCTAGGGCTTCATGAATGCCAGGAAAGCATTTTACCACTGAGCCACATTCCCAGCCCTGCTTTATTTTTTTGAAAGGGTTTTTTCAATACTAGCCTGGGACATCATCCTGTTAATACTTCATATTTAGCTGGGAGGAAAGCAATGTACCACCATGCACAGAATTGTCTTGGTTTAAATATGGGTCTCACCACAATCATTTTGCCTGTGCGGGTCTTAAACTGAAATCCCACATTCTCCCAGCTCAGCATCCAACTTTGATTAGGTTTAGGATGAAAACTTTCACAATTCTTCCTTTAAAGCTTTTGGAAACTACAGAGCATTCTTGTTATCTATAGTTAATCTGCATGCAGTAGAACCTCTAAGCAATTCCTTTGTGTCTCTTCTCACTCGATTTTCCAGAGACAAAATATTACTAGGTGTCTCTACTCTGACCTGGCCTCATACAGGATTTCTAGGGCACACCTTTCTATCCATTCACCCACTCCATCTCTCTTCTTCCCATGCCCACACTGACAACGTGCCTTCTATCCTGTCATCATCAGCCACACATTAGTACTCCCTCCACCCATGCTTCATCCTGTAGCACTCCTCTCAAATAACATCTGTGTTCTCCTCAGCCTTTCATTCACAAAAAGGAGGCAAGCCAGACTCTCCCACCTGCTATCCTCCCCAGCTCTGCCCAACTTCCTCCTTCCCACACCACTCTTAAGATCTGGCCTTCCACCTTCTCTGATTTGCTATTACCAGAACCCTCCTAAGCTGCAGGAACAGCCCAGCCTCCCTACAACCAGGATGGCCAGGCAGGAATCCACTGTCATGCAGGGGCCTTCCTCAACCAACTCTCCCCAGCCCCAACTCACCTCTTCTCTCCAGCATAGTCCTTCATTCTATGTCTCTCCAGGCAGGTACCCTTCACTGAGCACATGCATTTCAGTCTGTCCTACAGGATGCCACACTTCCACAGATATGTCTGGTCACCTCAAGAGCAGATTTGTCTTCAAGGTTTTCATTTGTACCTAGACCATACTTGTAAAAGAGTATAAGAAGTCAAAATACCATGTACCGTTTTAGCTGAAAAAACAAGCAAACCAGGTTACTGGTAAAAATGCTAGCTGTCTATCACTGCTCTACCAAATTCACTGAAGACTCTTTGGGCTTAGAAGATGTAGTGAGGAATCCTTATTTATGTAGATTGGGTAGTGTCACCTAAGGTCCTAAGGCCTGAAAATGAAAAAAAATGGCAAAAAATTGGAGGAGGGTCACAGAGCAAGCCCAGAGCTACATGGAATTCACCTGCTCTTTTTACGTAAGCAGAAACGTCTGAGGGTGCTCAGGCCATCCCAGGGGATAGGGTGAGCCAGTTTCACTAGCAATAATGGATGCAGGTTTGATCTAAAAGGTTTAAATTACAAATTTATCTAATTAGTTACACATTCTCCAGTATAATAAGCACAGGCCTAAGAATCCAAGTCTACAGAGACAGGATGGGCCAAAGACGAAAGCACAGATCTAGCAAGCAGAATCTTAGGGCTGTCAGTGATAGTAAAGTATAAGCTTAATGACTGTACAAGGCAGGACAAGATAAAACAAGTATCAGAAGTATTTAAAAATTAGTATAGGGGCTGGGAAGGTGGCTCAGTGGTAAAGCGATTGCCTTGCATGCATGAAGTCCTGGGTTCGATTCCTCAGCACCACATAAACAAAAAGAAAAAAGCCTGAAGTGGCGCTGTGGCTGAAGTGTTTGAGTGCTAGCCTTAAACTGAAGAGCTGAGGGACAGTGCCCAGGCCCAGAGTTCAGGCCCTATGACCGGACCCAAAAAAAAAAAAAAATTTAGTATAAATATGTATGGCTTCTAAATCTGAATCGGGACCTCAGAATACTATGGAAGTGCTATTAAAAACCTGAGATCAAAGGGCTGCTTTAATTCAATGAATAAATAGGCAACAGATCTTTCTCAACAGAAGAATTACAAATGGTCAAGAAAATATGAAGAAATGGTCAACATAATTCGACATACATAAAATACAAATCTAAACTACACTCAGATTCCATCACACCAAACACAAAGTGACTACAATACCTGGGCACTTGGATCAAGTGGTAGGGACTTACACTCAATCCAAATTAATGTCCCTCTCAAATATAAAAACACCAATCTGGTATGTGACCAGGCGCCAGTGGTTCATGCCTGTAATCCTAGCTGCTCAGGAGGCTAAGATCAGCAGATCCACTTCAAAGCCAGCCTAGGCAGAAAAGTCCATGAGACCTATTTCCAATTAACCACCAAAAGAAGCTGGAAACAAAAACAAACACTATGGATGGGAATGTAAACGAGTGCGGGTGTGACATTAATCAGTATGAAAGTTCTTCAAAAACTTACAATGGAACTTGGAAATATATCTATCAAAAGTCATATAACTCAGCACATAATGGAAATACACACACTTCCATGGTTACAGTAGCATGAGTCACAATACCAATTTACGGAGTCAACCTAGGTGTTCATCAACTGATGACTGAATTTTAAAATGTGGTATATATACAAATTGGAGTGTCATCCAGCCACAAGGAAGAATAAAATTTTGTGTCTTCCAGGAAAAAAAAACATATACAAGTGGAAATCATTACATTAAAAGAAAGAACCAAGATAGAGAAACACAGGTATCACATACTCTCTGCAATAGCTGTACACTGAATAATGACAAAAGTGGAAAACTGGGAGGGGGTGGAACTTGTGTCACTATTTGAAGCTGGGAGGTTCAGGTGAGTGGGGAGGGGGAAAGGAGAGGGTAAAGGAGAGGCAGATCTAATTGAAGTACTGCATAGGCGCCTGGGAAGAAGGCAATGAATCCTTTCAATTATTTTTTAAAGGAGAGAAGATGTAAGAGAAAATATAAGCAGTGAATTTGATCAAAGAACACTAGGCACCCCCATGGTAATATTACAGAGAAATCCTTTGGTACAATTAACTTATTGCTAATTAAAGAGAAGCATGGGAAAAGAGCATTTGATACACACAAAGACATTATTAAGTGCTTTGGGAAGTCTTAGCTAAGAAAATAAGATAACAAATAAAGAAAATTCGGGGGGGGGGGATTATGTGCTGCCCTGCGTATCCAGATGACTGGGCGAGGAGAAACCACTATTCAGATTGTTATATGGGGATTCTAAACGGCATGAAATGATATAATTTGTTTAATTCGATGATAGGGTTGAGGCACTGCTCCATCCCTGCATGTGACTGGAGCCTGGGGGGGGGGGGGGCAATTTATTGTGGTCTGAAGATAGGAGGATACAGATGTGGCTGACCTCGTGATTTCTGTGGTTCTTCTTCTTGGGAACAACCAGCACAGAAACTGCTAGAGCATCTCAAGCGGGTCATGGTTGAGGGAACACTCACAAGGTCCCAGGCGCTCCCGGGGGACAGATTACTCACCATCAATGCTGGGAAAGCGGATAATGGGAAGAGTGCTGTGCAGAGGTCAGCAGAGAAGCCCAGTATCCTAAAATATTTCACGTCTCATTCCCTCAAGACTGGTCGAATGCAAACGGTCGCAGTGCTCACCTACTACCTACTTGTTAAGAGCATGGAAAAGTTCTGGGAAAAAGTGAAGCACTTGGCCCAGTGCTGGCACTTAAGGCCCAAATGTTAACCATTACCGTGTTGGTGTCCACAAGCCTAACTTCTCTTCCTTCACGTTGAACTGGTTCACCTGCGAAGTCTTCATCCCTTTTCAGCTGGTTCCCGGCCCTGCTTCAGGGCGCCGCACTCCCGCTCAAGGGTAGCAGCCATCCCCCTGGTCACGTTACGACGGGACGAACGGAGACCCGGGAAAGGAGAGAAAGCAGATGACCGCAGAGGCTACAAGTCCCAGTCTTTGGCACCTGACAAATTGAGCGCAGCCAGGATGTGAGAAGCTGCCTCCGGTGGCAAAGGCACACAGCCATGGCTGGGAGGCACTGGATCGCAAAGAAGCACACGCGGGGAGCCATCGCGCTGGGAACCCGCACCGCCTGGTCCACCACCCACCGATTCAGGACGATCCACATACACAACGACTTTCCCACGCCGCCCCACCCGCAATGCTCCCGCTCCACACGCAAAAAGTCCGCAAGGCCTACCAGGGAAGAAGAAACTGAGCACACCAAGAACAAGGCTCTGGACAGCAAATCAGGTTACAGCTCCCTCCCACCTAGGAGGAGGGGTCTATGCGACACGCAGCACGTTAGGGTCACACCCATCAGTCTTGGAAGGCCAGGCCCGCTACGTGATGTCTCCACCCACAGGAAGCGGGACCCTGAGTCTCCACCCAGCACTTAAGAATGCATACCGCATAACTACCCAGCAGGCCCACCGCACATAGCTTCCGTTTACCTCGCGGGAAGGCCTGAGTCTCCAAAGAGCACACTGAGGCACAGACCACCGAATAAACTGAGCCACAGGCCAGCCAACTAGCAGCAATTCCCCTCTTGCTAATGGGAGGCTCTTAAGTCTCCCACCCTCGAGGTACAATGCGCCGAAAGATCTGCCCTCTACCTATTTCGTCCCGCCCCTATAAGTAGCAAGCTCAAATGGCCAGCCCACCACCTACAACTTCCCTCCCAACAGGTCCCGAATCGAAATTCCCTGACCAGCAAGTTGAGTGTCCCACCCACTAAGCTCGCCCAGCCAAAGGTCAGCCTGTGTTCCGCCCTTAGACCTAGCACGCCACCCCCTTCAGCTTCTCTATTCGAGGAGTTAAACCCTAAGTCTCCACCCACTAGCCCAAGACGCACCCACTCAGCTAGTAATTGTACCAAAGGCCAGCCCACTACGGACCACGTCCCGCCCTTATACATACAGGCAGGGAAGGCCAGCCCACCACGTACAACGCCCCTCCCGCCAAGTGGGTGGGCCTCTCAAGTCTCCACCCACCAACCTGAAAACTTCAAAGGCCGGCCTTCTGGTGCTTTGGCAATCCCACAGGAAACAGACGCTGCAAATCCCCGCCTTACACGGAGAAAGGCAGAGCCGAACTACAAAACCCAAAAGCCAGCAGACAGAAAACAAGGTCCTTTCCGCCAGGGAGAGGCTGGAACGCCACGCCCAGCAAGTAAAACCTCCCCAACCCCAACTACAACGCCCTGTAAACCAGCATACTATATAGAACGCTCCCAACAACTGAGGAAATCGAGTTCTCCGCCCAGTACACACACTCTGCAGGTACAAAGTCGCACCAACCAACGTTCAGAGTAAATAGACATAGCTGCGCACTGGTGGCTCAAGCCTTGAGGCTGAGAACTGAGGATGTCAGTTCGAAGCCAGTCAGGGCAGGAAAGTCCTTGACACTCGTATCTCCAATTAACCACCAAAAAGCCAGAAGATGCAGAGTGCTAGCCTTGAGCAAAAAAGTTGACGGTCAGCACTAAGACAATGTGTCAAGCCCCAGCGAACAAAGAGGGAGAAAGAGAGGAGTCAGAGGTGTGTGTGTGTGACAGAGAGAGGTGGGGGGGGGGGGGAGGGATGGACTTAATACTTCAATCACAAGTAATAATAATAATACCACCAGAAAGAATATAATAAGAATTTTATGTCGGATTTAGTTTTGTTTGTGTCTGTCATGGGGCTTGAACTCAGGACTCAGGGCCTGTGTGCTGTCTCTGAGCTCTTTTGCTCAAGGCTACCTCTCTTCCATTTTTAGCCACAGCTCCAATTCACATGATCAGTTGGAGACAAGACTCTCACCAGAACTTCCCTGCCAAGGCTGATTTCCAACCATGACCCTCAGATCTTAGCCTCTTGAGTATCAAGAATTACAGGCATGAGCCACCAGAACCTGGCTAATTTGTTGTTTATTCAGCAACCAAAAATCGCATTAAAGCAGGGGCTACTTACATATTCCTTACAGAACAGACATTATATAGTGCAAAGCCCACCCTCCCCCCAAAAAGAAAAAACCTGAAGAAAAAAATGAGTAGAGCTTATAGCATGTAAATATTAACCATAGAATGCTGAATAGTGTCTGGGAATGTGGCTTAGTGGTACAGTGCTTGCCTAGCATGCATGAAGCCTTAGGTTTGATTCCTCAGTACCACATAAACAGAGCCAGAAGTGGCGCTGTGGCTCATGTGATAGAGTGCTACCACTGAGCAAAAGGAGCTCAGGGACAGTGCCCATGCCCCAAGTTCAAGCCCTAGGACTGGCAAAAAAGAAAAAGAAAAAGTAAAAAAGCAAAATATGTTATCTAGCACTATGTGAATAAGAGATAAAAATAGAAATTATGATGAAAATTATATTCATTAGGAAACTGCATATTTTATGAGTTTGAAAAAATCAATCAGGCATAGTGGTGCATGCCTGGAAAGGCAGTAATCTGGAGGCTGAGACAGGAAGTTAGTGAGTTTCAGGCATATCTGGGAAACAGAGTTGAGTACAAGACCAACTTGTACTACACAAGCATTTCTGAGTACTAGCTCAAAAAAAAAATGTCCAAACTCAATATATCAAACAATTAGAAACATATGCACACAAGAAAGATACCCATGATATATCATGGAATTAGCAACACTGAGGGATGGAGAAAACATTCCACAGTAGCAGTTGAACACATCAAAATGTAACTTGTGTTACAGATGGTTTCAACAAAGAATGAACCAAAAGGATTGAACAGATATCTAGAAAACACAGG